TCCTTAAACAGGGCTGCCTTCACATGTCTTTTAAAAGTAGAATAGTTGATTATTTCCTAAACATCTGATGGGAGGGCATTCCACAGGGCGGGCGCCACTACCAAGAAGGCCCTCTGCCTGGTTCCCTGTAACCTCACTTCTCGCAGTGAGGGAACTGCCAGAAGGCCCTCGGCACTGGATCTATGGAGAAAGGGTTCAGAATCTGATGTCTCCACCAGCCACGGCCTGAGCAGTCGGGCACCTGCTGAAATCCACCACAGGGAAGAGCATTCACAATGGACTTCTGGTACTGGGCCTATTCTTGCATCTCTGACCATACAGGGCTAAAGTAAATGAGATGCAGGAAATCCATGATGGTTCTGAAGACATAGCACAGGCTTCCTAAACCTGGTGCCCTCCAGATGTTTTGAACTACAACTCCCTTCTTCTCTGATCAGGACCTGGAGGATATTAGGTGGGAAAAGATTGAGACATAGTGTTGTAGCCCCAAGTCATGTATATATGAGACTTGTGTTCGCATGATGAGACTCCTGCTGTTGTGCAAACTAAGCCTCCAAGAGCAAAATACACATCACTATGGACCCCCCCCCAAATATGACCATAAAACCTTCATCCCCCGTTAATCAATGATATGAAGCATCCTTAAGGCACAACTTAATACATCTGTACAAGAATGAGAAACAAACAAATTTCAAATACAATAATATTCAACTTAGGAGGTTTAGTTTGGTCAGAATCAAGTACACACTTCCTGAGTTAACTCTAAATATATTACTTCTGGATGACGGGCCACCACCATAGCTGGTAGAGGGCCGTGAAAATTTGTGTTCCAGGCTTTTTAGGCTGTGGGTTAAACCACAGAGTCTAGGACTTGCCGATCAGAAGGTCGGCAGTTCGAATCCCCGCAACGGGGTGAGCTCCCGTTGCTCAGTCCCTGCTCCTGCCAACCTAGCAGTTCAAAAGCACCTCAAAGTGCAAGTAGATAAATAGGTACCGCTCCAGCGGGAAGGTAAACGGCGTTTCCATGCGCTGCTCTGGTTCACCAGAAGTGGCTTAGTCATGCTGGCCACATGACCCGGAAGCTGTACACTGGCTCCATTGGCCAATAAAGCGAGATGAGCACCGCAACCCCAGAGTCGGTCACGACTGGACCTAATGGTCAGGGGTCCCTTTACCCTTACCTTTACCCATGTAGACCAAAGGGGCACATGGGTTACCAGGTGTGTGTTTTTCCCCCAGCTCTCCTACCCCACTGGAAGCAACTTTCAAGGGTTTCAAACACTGGTCTTTCTCATCTCCTGCTACTCAGTTCTTTTAACTGGAGACACTGGGATTGAACCGGGTACTTTCTGCATGCAGGGCACTGCAGTGACCTATCATTTCTCCCCATTTTGCCGACCACAGAAGAAGTTTTTAGAAGAGCAGAGCAATTATAATGTTCAGGTGTGAGTGCAGTCAGCCTGCCATATTGGCATTACCAGTCAACCAGAAAGTGAAGAGGAAAAGTTAAGAAAACTGTTGCTAGGGATATTATTACCCTGTAACTTCCTAACCTAAATGCTGTCATTGCCTCACTACTATTCATGTTTCTAGTGCTGCTGCCAGCCGTAAGTAATAATAAGTTTTCAGAGGGCCTGCCAAGCCAGACTTCTGTCAGGCAGGACCTAAGTCAAAGAGAAACATGCGGAGGGGAAACAAAGCAGAACAAAGAAACCACCTTGGGGAAGAATTGCTACTGCTTTATTCCTTTTAAACTGACTGAGGTGGTTGCAAATTCTTAATGCTAATGCTAAAGTTGAAGCCAATTCTTCAAGGCTGGGGGGCGGGGAATTGAAGCAACTTGCTGCCAATGATAAGAGACCATAAGATGGCAACTCTTGGATAAACATGTGCCTTTCGAGGGCATGGTTATAAAGAGACCAATCTGTAGTGATTGTTTTAGAAAGAGACTCTGATTCTGTGCTGTTCCATGCATTGTGTATTCCTAAAAATTCATTATCAGCACACATAAATACATTGCTATAGACTGTGTCATTATGAAGGCTACTATTTTGCTTTGGAGAGGGTGTGGGGCTTACAAGTGGATCCAGAAATAAAAGTATTTACCTTTAAATGGATCTGTTTCCATACTGTAGTATTTGTCCAGTGATCATTAGCAAATATATAATCCGTAAAACCAGATTATAAACCAATAAATAACTCATAAACCCGGTCCCAAATACTGAGCGGGATTATTTATTGACACTAGCAGAGCTAGGGAAATCTTAAATGCTATGTTTACTTCACTCCAATAGTAGCAATGAACAACACCTTGCTCTTTGGGGTCTAGAAATCAGCTGGGTTTATGAGTTGTTTTTGGTGAATGGTCATTTAAATCTGGTAGCTCCACATTATTTCTAAACTGGGATCCTTTCATTAGACTCAGTTAGTGGCGCTAACTGAAAGAACAAGTCAATATACAGTCATATTGGTCCAATGGTCATAAGTACCAGGACTATAAAAACCAGAAACCCTCAGCAGCAGCACTACACACAACATTTCATACTCAAATGCTCCTTACTGTTCACTAACATCAAAGTCCAGTGTCAGGTCAAACAGACAAGAATGGAAGAACTTAAGATACACCATAAAGTTAATTATCTTTCCAAAGACGCTAGGGACACACCTTCAGTTTATAACTGCTTCACTAGTAAATCTGGTGAAGCTTTTGATATGATCACCCATATCTTAAAGGGACCCCTGACCATTAGGTCCAGTCGTGACCAACTCTGGGGTTGCGGCGCTCCTATTGCTTTATTGGCCGAGGGAGCCAGTGTACAGCTTCCGGGTCATGTGGCCAGCATGACTAAGCCACTTCTGGCGAACCAGAGCAGCGCACGGAAACACCGTTTACCTTCCCGCCTATTTATCTACTTGCACTTTGACGTGCTTTCGAACTGCTAGGTTGGCAGGAGCAGGGACCAAGCAACGGGAGCTCACCCTGTCGTGGGGATTCGAACCGCCAACCTTCTGATCAGCAAGTCCTAGGCTCTGTGGTTTAACCCACAGCGCCACCCGTGTCCCTTACCCATATCTTAGACCAGGACAAAGCACTGTTTTACACTAGTACCAGAGGTAGTGCTGAAGAATACAGAATACTGTTCTGTCTCCTGTCCTTTTTCACATCTACATGAAACTGCAGGTAACGTGAAGTCCGGTGTCGTTCATATGCAAGTGGCATTGAACTTTGCCTCATTGATTGATTGATTGATTGGGATTATAGACTGTTTAATGCAGTGGTTCTCGAACCTTTTTTCTTTAGGCCATGCTTTCAGAATAAAAATTTGCTCACTCCACACCAATTTTTTTTTGAAAACGAAAAGAAACAGCTCCTAGCAGTGCTTGATTTATAACATAGAACACAACTACTTTATAATATGATCACGGGACATCCAGAAAGTATAAAACAATGCAGCTACATAAGACCACGAGTCATTCCCAAAATATAGTATAATCTCTCTCCCCCCCCGCCCCCGCCGCCATGCTTGCCATCATCTCCTGCTACACCCTTTGAGAACCACCAGTTTAATGGGTAAAACCTCCCAGCCACATTTTATCATTTTTTAAACAGTGTCTGAGGTTGGTAAGAGACAGATGGGGATGAACAAATTTGTGCTTTCTTGGATGGGGCAGCCCTCCCGTGAAAGAATCCAGGTTTCCTGCCTGGTGGTGTTCCTGGATCTTGCCTTGAGCATCAATGCTCCAGTTGCAGCTGCAGCCCAGAGCACCATTGCTCAGCACAGGCTGGTGTGTCAGCTGTCTTCATTTCTGGAAAATGCTGATCTGTCCATGATGACACATGCCTTAGTCATCATCATACTTTGAATGATTGCAATGTTCTCTGTGGGGGGCTGCCTTTGAAGAGTGTCTGGAAACTTTAAACTATCCCGGAATACAGCAGCCAGATTGTTGATCACAGCTCATTATTTGGATCACATGACTTCCACAATGAATCGGTTTCACTGGCTTCTGATTTGTTTCCAGACTGGGGTATCTGCCTTATGTCATAATATATTATGTGTGCATCAACATAAATACACAGAAAAGCCTCTTTCACCATCACTGGAAGTGTGCTTGGCTGAGACCTTCTCTGTCACTGTGCTTAGGTTCACTTTACTTACGTATTTATTTTGGTATTTTTTTACTATCGTTCTGGGCCAAAGGCCTTCTCAAGGTGTTTTCAGTGAAAATCATAAAATCAGTTTAAAAGAGTTAAAGCTGTTAAACTAACCAACACAGCACTGTGGCTAAAAGCAGCAGCACTTAAGCAATGACCTAATTCCAAGCAGTTTGGAATAGTCAAGTCTTTAACTCATGATTGAAGGCAACCAGGGAGGGAGCCAGACATGCATCTGATGGGAGGATTTCCACAGTGATGGGGCCACGGCTGAAAAGGTCCTGTCTCTTGTGCCCACCAGCTTGCTGGTTCTCAAGAGCATGGCATCTGTACTGATTTCAGAGCATGTGTAGGTTCTGTAGGTTGTCCTTCAGATAACCTGTCTTAAATTTGAGTCTCCACAAATTCTGAATTATGGAGGGCAGCTAGACAGAAGAGGGTCCTTCCCCTGGGCAATTACCACTCCGAGGGGTATTACCACTTGGCACCCACTTGAATGCTTTTTTTTGTGCTACAATTATCGGTCGAAACCACACTCACAGGCATTCCCTGTGGGATTATCAACTTGTGCTCACCAACCCAAAAGTTCTGCGCTACACCATTAGATCATTGGGTTCCCACAGCCATCAGGAAGGGCAAAAATTTTGTCCGGGTATCCAAAAATGCTTCCTTTGAAAAAAAAAATTCTGCTGTGGTAAATCAACCAAATGTTTTAATGCGTTTTGACAGCCGTTTTAGAACTTTCTGCTCCTAGGGCCATTCAGAAGGACCCGGTTTCTGCCCCCCCCCCCGTTTTAGCATGTCCCCCCTCTTCTCAGTGATTCAACAGGTGCAGCTGCCCCCCATGGCGGTGGTGACAGGGAGGCAGGAGAAAGCATTGCCTGTTGAGCATTTGGCACAGGGTAAATTTTACAAGTGTAAAATTAAATGTTCTCGGTGCGAAATGTATTAGGGAAAATTTTGAAGGAGGAGGGGGGAAAAAACCACAGGCTGAAACCCACATAGCCTCTCGGTGTGTCCCCCCCCCCCCAATATATTAAATATATACATTTTCTTGCGGGGCCCTCGACACGTGCCGTCCTCCTGTTGCTCCCGCCATTTGTGGGCGGGAGACGCCGGAGGGAGGCAGAGGGAGCCCCCCGCTTCTCCCCCCCCGTCTCCCCCCCCCCCGGGCGCCGGGCGCGGCTGCGCAGCAGCGAGGAAGCCGGGCTGTCCGGCGCCGCGACGGAGCTGCGCTAGGGGGAGTGTTCAGTGCACTTGCCGCGCGCGGCGGCGGCAGCAGCAGCAGCAGCACGACCAGCCCCGGCAGTAGCTCCCTCGAATCCCGGGTCGGCGCTTCCGCGGGCTCGGAGGGAGAAGGAGGAGCGCGCCCGCCCGCCCGCCCGCCCGCCCGCCTTGCTGGCGATGCCGCGGCGCCCGGGCGCGTGAAGCGGGGCTGGCGCTTGCGGCACGCGGCGGGGCGCGTCTGCCAGGGGCTCTTCTCGGCCACCATGCCCGGAGCGGCGGCTGCGGCGGCGGCGGGGCGGCTCCGGGGGCCGCCTCGTCGGGCGGGGGCTCGGCGTCGCTGTCGGGGGTCTCGGCGGCCGGGGCTCTGCTGCCGCCCCAGGAGGCGGCCAAGCTGTACCACACCAACTACGTGCGGAACTCGCGCGCCATCGGGGTGCTGTGGGCCATCTTCACCATCTGCTTCGCCATCGTCAACGTGGTGTGCTTCTTCCAGCCCTACTGGATCGGCGACGGCGTGGAGACGCCTCAGGCGGGCTACTTCGGGCTCTTCCACTTCTGCACGGGCAGCGGCTTCTCCCGGGAACTCACGTGCCAGGGCAGCTTCACGGACTTCTCCAGCCTGCCCTCGGGAGCCTTCAAAGCCGCCTCCTTCTTCATCGGGCTCTCCATGGTGCTCATCATCTCCTGCATCGTCTGCTTCATCCTCTTCTTCTTCTGCAACACGGCCACCGTCTACAAGATCTGCGCCTGGATGCAGCTGAGCTCCGGTGAGTCAGGGGTTAAGGGCGCACCGGGCGGCGGGGGGAGGAAACTCGCGCGTCCCAGCCCCGTCCGTGGGGCAGTTAGGTAACCTGCACGCGATCGCCTCACGCCCCCCCCCCATCTACCCCACCTCTGGTCCTCGAAATGTGCATTTCCTTAGGAAGGCAGGAACCCCCCTGCTCATCCCGAGCCTTGGAATTATGAGATGCCCCACTGGCACCCCGCCGGACCAAAAGGAGGCGGGCGAGATATAAGGAAGCATCTCCCATGCACCCCAAGGGGCAAGGCAGCATCTAGAGATGCAAGGTGCCAACCTGTGTGCATGGGAAGCTCTTCATTTTGTGGGTGACAAAAGTGTTAGGTAGCCTTTTTGCTCTGGTGGTGGGGAGAAAGCTGTATTCCAAGGGGAGCGGTGGCTTTTGCAGGTTAAATCCCCCTGCAGGGCTGGATAGTTAGTAGAAATAAACTTAGGTGCACTTAAAAGATGCAGAGGGATAACCTGGGGCAAAACGTTGCCTGCAAAGGGGTGGGTGTGTTGCATTCAAAGCAATGTGTCGGAAAACATTGTCACCCAGGAAAGAACTCTTGCATAGATTAGGGATGCTTGCTTGGGGTTTGAAACCGTCCCTAAGAGAGAAAATGCCACACCAGCATTAGCAATGACAATGTGGACTGACAGGTTACATATATGCCTCTCTTTCTGGGGGAATTTGTACTGCACTAGGGTCTTGCATGTGGGGAAAAGACACAGGACCGCTGCTGAGCACCTTTCCAAAGGGCTGAGTGGATGAGACCTTGCAAGAGCCACGTTTTAGCTCACAGTGACAAATCTGTCCTCTGGCAGAGGCTGGTACTTAAGGAAAGGTCACAAGGAAATGGTAATGAGAACCTTGGGGAATGCTTGAAAGAAATCCCACCAGACAGGCAAAGTTGCTCTGTTCTTGAGGTGTTTCTGGTATAGCTTTCTGTGGCACTTGCTATGACAAATTAATTCTGCTTCTCAACATGAGTGAGGTCTTGTTATTCATGTTTGGTTGAGGGACAGCTGTGACTGTTGGGAGTCTCTCTTGCAAGGTTTGGTTTCTCTGTATGATAGTACAATGAGAGAAAGCCTCTGTAGTTTTCCCCCCAAGAGCCACGCAGCCCAATCCTATAGATATTTTATTTGTTAAACAAGTCACAGTGCTGCATAGCACCAGGTAAGTGTGCATAGGATTGCAGTCTACATCTGTAGCTTCCAAGTGAGCTGTTAAGTGACTCTTTGGAAAGTAAGGAGATGGCAGTTCAAAGCCCATGACATTAGTAGATTCCTTACGGTCTCCAGCCTCTCTTTATGTATGTATCGTATATATTTGCATCCTGCAAGGAAAGAAAAATACATTGTTCCTCCTTCCTTGTGTTATCCTCCCAACAACCCTTTGAGGTAGGTTACGGGATGACCAGTCCGAGGTCACCCAGTGAGGCTTCTGACCAGTTGAGAATCTGAGCCTGCAAACAAGTCCCGCAACTCAACTGCTACGTCACACTGACTCTTGTTCAACCTTTCTGACCAAGGCTTAGCTTTGGAGTGACAAAAACAACTGTGTAGCTAACGTGACAAAAGAGGGCAAGGGAAACACAGATATGATACACCACTTCAGCCTCTAAAACATAAAGCAAAATGCTGAGAGTACCAAGACAAACCCTCCAACAGGGTATCCATTTATAGCTGATGAGGAAGGGTCTGGGTCTAGTTATTGAGGATATCGTCAGTATGAATCAGTTTGTGGCCAGGTCAGGCATGACCAGTGTTTTATATATTTCTTACACTTATACTCTGCCTTTCCATTTTAAAAATGCCCACAGTGGCTAACAACATTCAAACATGTTCCGGGGGAAGGACCTGATTGGTTAACATTGTGGTGTAGATGTGTAACCGGGAGTATAAATCTGCCCTTGGAAAGCACCTAAGAGGTTTGGGATTTATTTAAAAAAGAAAGGTATGGTGCAATGCATATAACTTGGTTATGTTCAAGTGCCAATTATTTGAACCTCAAGAGGGGAGACAAATAAGCAAATGACAGAGATTTTTACGGAGGTATTTTGCCAGAAAGTGAAAGGAGGAATGGAGGTCCCAGGGCAAAGCAGGCAATGATTTTTATTTTTATTTTAAATCAAATAAAAAAGGGTGATTAATTTATGTTCGGGGCGTGGGGGGTGGGATATAGTTATGTGAAAGCCAAGCAGGAATTCTTCTTGGGATTCTTCCAGAGAGAACTGAGGATGCATGTTCTTGCTGTAGGTGGTTGGAATCAGAGGGCAACGGCTCCAGACAATATGCTCTTGAGTTACCTATTGGAAGTTTCACTCAGGTGCTATATTTAGCCACGTAGTAGAGATTTCTACAGAGATGTGTGCTCTGTCGTTCAGAAATTAATTTGAATGGTGGTTTCTGCCAGAGATTGTGATTTTGTATGGACTTCTGGTATATTTTCTAGGCACTATTGCTCTCCTCACCTTTCTCATTCAAGTCAGATCCCATTCAAAACGTCAGATTTAGCTCATTACATATTGGATTGAGATTAAATTATAGGATTAAAAAAGCACGTGCCTGCTATGTACCTAGGTGAATCTGTATATTTAGTTCTGTTTGTATTTCTTTTGTGAGCTTCCCAGAATTTTTTTTGTTGTGGGCTGGCTATGTAAACTTAGGTATTACAGTATAAGTATATTTTTATTTTGCGTTTGTAAAATGCTTCCAATTATGTTTCACTGTTCACTTTTTGGGAAGATCTGAAAGGTGTGTCTTTGCATTTCCTTAATTTGTAACCTGGACAAGGATTTCATGTTTTGGTTTTTGGGTGTTTTTTTTTAAGTCCTTAGTGGAATTGAGTGAGCATGTATATTTGTTGTGTATGGCATGTAATAGCAATGTGGCATTTGTAGTGCCAAAACATATGAATGATTACTACACATTAATGTTTCTTGCATTTGCAAGTTTCACAGGATACAGGTATCTTGATATTACCATTAGTGCTTACTGCAAATTGATACTTAAAGCAGGAGACACCCTCCTTTATTCCTCAATGTCCTGCAGTGGGTTTGATGAAAAAAACGAATGGATTTCAATAAAGTGGTCCGGCTTGCGGAAGAATTTTCTGGATTTGCAGACGTGTTAGATTTAACTTAAATTCCACTTCTGATCAATGCCCACCGGGTCGTTAGTGCCATTGTATCATTTTGAATGCTAAATATATAAGGTGATTTGTGCCTCACTTGTGTGATTCACATTTGATAAATGACTGCATGTTCATCAGGTCTGTTTTTCAGATTGAAGTAATACAAATGGTTCTGCAAGTCACTCCCTGCATATAAAACATGATGCAAATAAATAAATAAATAAATAAATACGAATTGCTATATGAGAGATGTATGTCTGTGAAAGGCTTTACTGAAGCCATTTTCAGGTGGTCACAGTATCATTAGATGTTAATAATTTGTTTCCACATAATGCTTATAATCTGCCAGTGAATTCAAGAGCACTGTTGTGAATTAACATTGCAAGCTGACGGTTAAATTTTCCAAATTAATTTTACTAAAACAGCGTGTCTTCCTCTTTATTGCATATTGTCTAGTGCTGATTACTTTTCACATAGCAGAAATGGATTTGGTGTAAAAGGGCACAGTTGTTCTTTACATATAATTAATATACATAGGAAGCCAACTTTACTTTACTCTTAACTTTATGACTGTACAAATGAGCAATTCTGTTTTTTAAATAAAGTTGGCAATATTTTAATATTTATAAACTTTCCGTTTGAATTTGCACCAAAGTCCTCTGTATACATACGGTAGTTTGTATGTACTTTCCGCCCAACAAGGTTAAAGTTTCCAGAGCTGCAGAATAGACATGTGTGTGGAGACAGACGGAAATTAAATGCTTTAAAAATAAAAACACCACTACACTCCTTCATTTTTTTTAAATGGTACATATTATTGTGGTTTACTGGTTTACCTGTCAAGAATACAGGGAGCAGCCTACTGTGGAGCAGCTTCACTTTAGTTGCAAGTTAATTTAACCCACCCCTTGAATGTTCCTAAGCACAGTACATCCCATAAACTACTGCTATCCTGTCAGTGTTTGGTAAGGAGAGGTGGGGTGGAGGAAAGAGGAATTAATGGCTTTGAAATTGTTAAGGAAACAATGATTTCAGTTCCTTATAATTAACGCTAATAATTTTTCCTGCAGGCTGTTCAGCGTTTTCAAAATATGGTTCTCTCAATGCACTCAATGCCCTTGCAGTTTATATCGGTCCTTTCTCTACATGCTGTACACCCAAGATAACTATAAAAGGGCCTACTGATGATAACTAATGCCTTTTGAATAATATATGTCTTGAAAATTAATTTGCAAACTGGTTTTTTAAAGAGTAATGGGGAACTGTATGCTTTGCTTCTACAGAAGTCCAATAGTTTTTCTTAAGGGATTGCCCTTTCACTGGAAAGGAGTAATATTATTTGGTCATTGTGGCTTTGCTGAAACAGACTCATGGGCCAAATGGGAAGGCCTAGGGGGGCCTGTTTAGTCTCTTGGGCTCGATGTTCCCCACCATGGACCCTAGACTATGTTTCTTAGATTTCTACTCAGATGAAGCAGCTAAATCTTTGGCTTTTACGCTCCCAGAGAAAATTAAAGCAATGTATAATCTCAAAGAAGGTTTCTAATACAGCTTTCTAAAGTGTTAATTCCAGACTGCTAGATTAAATCCCAGAGAGGGAAATTATGGATTCTATCTCTTGGCAAAACACAGCTTTGTCATCTTTATTGCTGACTCCATTCCTTCTACCCAGGAAAACTAATTACAGCTTGGCTTTGTTTTAAGGTATTGGATTGCTGGGGAAAATTCAGGTGTACAGTTGGCAAAGAGTGATGACTGAAATTTAAGTGAAATGTTGCCACAGTAAAGTTTGTGAACCAGGTGGTTATTTTCATGGGGAAAATCAGTGCTTAAACTGAAATGGAAATGACACGATGTCTCTTTTTGGAGAACCTGTTGGCCAGTTTTGGATGGTCTCCTCCTCTCTTGTTTTGGCATCCTTTTGATAAAG